TTTGACTCTAAAGATGCATTACAGCTTTAATTATAAGCCGTACCAATTATCAAAATAAGTAATACATTTTATGTATAATTTTATGACATGCCCACATAGAGACATTGGTAATTATTAAACTTGTTCTTAACTTAGTACTGTTAAATTAATTATGAAACACATTGTGTAATACCGATACATTTTTAAGTGTATTATGTCAATGTAAATGTGTATTTTACTTTTTTATTACGTCAGAATGTGTATTTTGTTACGCTTACTTTCAGTAAATTAATAATTTTTTTAAATAATTTTTTTGTTTTCGATTTTCTAATATGCTCGGCGCCGTGGGGGGGGTTTCCCCCCCCCCCCACAGGAGGCGCGCCCCACAGTTTGAGAAACTCTGGCTTAAGATTTATATCTGTGAAACAAGAGAGTATACACTCGAAATTTATCAAAGTTCTGCAACACAATATCAAGAACTATTCTGAAAGTTGATGAAAAAAATGTTTCAGCGCATTAAAAGTTTTTCTCACTCACAATCCTTTATAGCCGCGGTAGCCCAGTGGTTAAAATTACGAACTCGTGGCGGTAATGTTTTAAGTTCGAGCTTTTGTGCCACAAAAGATTCGTCGTGAAGAGAGAGGGAATGCACGTGAAATCAGTTCAGGCTCAAATTTCTCTTTTTGACGTGATGTGGCAGTTTGGGGAAGAGGTGACAGCTCGAGTGTCATCTACGTCATTTGGGCGAGGTTCAAATTTACGAAGTGCTTTATGATGTAACGTTAATAAATCACTTGCTGGGAGGTTTTTTTTTTTAATAATAAATTAGTATATGCATATTTGTTAATAGAAAAAGAGCATTACGTTTGTTATGGTTTGTAATAATTGAATAGTTCTGGCCTGAAATATGTCATTACTTGGTGATTTTAAACTTATTTTTCGAAATGTTACACATAATTTTTTTTTTGGTTAAATCTTAATAAGACTATATAAAAAATTGCATTAAAATACTTTTAAAATCTGATGTTTTTTTTAAAAACATTAATATTGGGCCACTGATGTAATTATTTAAAAACTAATAGATAGAATTTTAAATATATATATAAATGTAATAATTCTCTCTAACACACATACTTTTAATTAACTCTTCTTAATAATCTATAAATAATCTTCTAATTATTTGGTTCGAAACTAATACCCTGATCTTAATCGTAATCGACTAATATTATTACATCATAAATCCCTTTCCCACCCATTGTAACCAATCAGAGTTCTTTTTACAAAAATATCACGCAGTCTACCGTCGGGCATAAAAACCGATGTCTTTGGAAATCCTCTCGCTCTTCGCTCGTTTCTCTGTAGTCATGTAGCCGGCTGCTTTGTGTTGTAGTTTCTTTGTCTGTGTTGTGTTGTCCATACTCACTGTAATTAATATGCCTAGGTGTGTCCAGATATTCAATAAATTGGATTTACTAAATTACAAGACTGCCTCATAATCCTATAATAGAAAATGCAACAACATACGAATCGGCGAACGGGCACTGATGCGCCAAAAATGCTGCTTCGCTGTCGGATGTTAGTGGGCCTCTGCCGAAAAAGGTTGATGCCGGCGTTTTAATAAGCACGCTAGATGGCGTTGCTGTGGAATACTGTTTTGATTCAATTGCCGTCTTCAGAAAAGAGATATGATCTAACCTTTTACACATGGGATATCCAACATACATTATAATAAACATATATAAAAGAACAAGCAAAGTTTAATGTTTACGTCCTGACACTTGACATTTATTCTCTGCTACTATCTTTCCAATTTTTGTGACATATTTTTTTATTTCATTTTATATTAATATGTGCCAATATATTGGGCGGGATGCAAAAATGTTCATTGCCGGCTGCAAGTTTGACACCCCTGCTCTACATCAAGGGTGTGAAACTTTTATATGCTAACTTGGGGAAAACAAACAAATTTTAACTTTAAATAGGCCACAAAAAATCAATACTCATAGAAACGAAGGTTTATTTCGAATACTGCATTAAAAAAGCAACAAGAAATAATTAATATTTACGTCTTGACATTTGTGTGACATCGATTCTCTGCTATTATCTTTCCAATATTGTGAGATTTTTTTTTCATTTCATTATATATTATTGTGTGCCAATATATTGGCCAACCCGAAAAAATGTTCATTGCGGAACGGATGTGGCCCACAGGTCAAGAGCTTGACACCTTTGATCTAAGTCATAACATTCTTTTATAAATGATTAACGAAAATTTTAATTGTTTTCTTTTGAATAATATAATAACCAAAATAAAAACTCTTCAAGACACTTTTAGGAAACAAATTTATAGCGTGAAACAGAATATTTACTTCCAAATCTCGAAACAGGTTTCACTTCCAATTATATGGTCTAATTTAATAATAGAATATGTATTTGTGCTGAGTTTTGCAACTACTGCTTCAGAGCAAACGTGTCTTAAGGTATCCGACTACATTCAGAACCGTGATTTTGCAAAAGCGTA